ATATATATATATATATGTATGTATGTATATACACATATATGAGCTAAACGGTTGTACGAGAACGTTATCGATTCCATGATTATCCGGCAAGATAAATTCATCGCGCGCGTGCAACATTTTAACAAACTGGAAGAGACTCACTTTCGGCTGTCCATAAGCAAAATGGCATAGTTAAAACATAGAGTTAAAACATACACTAAATGGCACTTGCACGTACCAAATTGTTTCGCGTTGACGGACAACGCTACATTAACGGCCGAGTGATTCGCACGGGATAATTCGTTATTAATACGCAATTTACGTTGTAAACCTTGTCATGCTGCGTATCTGACACGTCATAATGCACATCATCCCTCTTTATGCATTTCAATATTTACTGCGGATGGATTATAGGATGTTTAATATTCAGCACTTTTCCTGAAAACGCTTTCGTTGGAAATTCTGTTACCCCGCATAATAACACGGGAATCAAACGAATTTCAATCCGACGTTTCAATAAATTAATATCGAGCAAAAGAGCACCGGATTAGCATAACTACGTTTCATGTTTTTACGTTTGTTCGCTTTTCTGCGAATCTAGAATCGTTATTGTTATCGCAGTAATTCGTTTCTTGGAATTATCGTAATTGCACCAAGTAGGTACTCCGGTAATTATTTTAAAAATACCCAATGCCTCGCGTCGTTAATTACGCCGCTGCGCGAGCGAAGTTGTTTCTTCGTGTCTCGCGACACGATTTCCAGCTACGACAATTTATCGAGACACTTATCGTCGTAGCGACGTGCCGTCCGTTATTTGCGTTACTCATTATGCTTCACGCCGTCGACTCTTTTATGCGCCACGAAGGAAGAATTGTCTACCGCGCATGCATAAAATATGCAGAACGTTCGTGGAAATTCTACCGCACGCATTACGCGAGAATGCGCGTGGTAGAATTTGATTACACGAACACGTATATATGTGTGTGTGCGTTTCACTCGCGAATTGAAATATATTCATAAACTGTCGTGTGTCGCGCGCGCAATCGTGCAATCGTGATCTCGCAGAATAATCGCCAGAAATATCCAATGTCACGCATGATACTCGCGTAGTACACTAAAGGCAATATCGGACCCGTTCGCCGTGAGTGTTCCGCTGCAAGTAGTACATCTCGCCCGACAAGCCCGACGGTACCCGCCTGATGGCATCGCACGGTAAATTAAGCGACACCGTACTACGGATATGGCGGCTAATTGAATTTAAGACTTCAACTAAGTAAGACTAAATGGACGCGTCTCGGCAACTGTATCACACTGAGTCGTAACCGGCTTGTCATTAACGATACCTGTGAAATTGTTACTGACGTTAATTGCCGCCAAGCTACGCGGCATCGACTTTCTGGGAAGAAGTCGCTGCGCGACACTAACTCCCCCGCCTGCTGCTAATGGCGCAACTATAATTTCTCATCGAGACTTATCGGCAAAACGAGCGACGTGAATTAAAGGCTCATTAATTGTGTCGCAGGTGTACTACAAAATATTCCGCGCTGCGCGCAAGATCGTGCTGGAGGAGATAAAGGCGCAGCTTCATCTGGAGGTGCACTGCCATCTCGACATGGAGCCACCGGCCGTGCAGCATCCGACCGCGTCCACAGTGAATCGTCAATTAAATTCCACCGACACACAGACGAGCCAAAGCAGTCCGCCGGTGAAACAGCACAGAAGTTCTAGCGCGTCTACCACGGTGAGTAACAGCCACCGAGAACTCTTCAAAGCGAAATAAAGCGTGTCGCAAGACGATCATGCGTTTCTCCTTTATCATAAACCCATTCTGTCGATTTTCATGTCGAAAGAATTGATTTATCTTGAAAGAATAAAATCAGCTTTCGAGAATTAATTTCGATGTGAAAGAGTAATTATATTTTTATCGTTGGGTAAATTTTTTTTTTTTAATTTACTTCTAAATGCGTATGAATCTTTCTCAAAATAAAAAAATCGATACACAATTAATGAAAAAGACGAAATTCGACTATCTATTTAGAGTGTTAACATTGTTAATTGGTCTTCTTAAGCTGATCTATATAATATGTATCTGGGAAAGTGCGTCATACCCCAGGGACGTCTAATATGTATACACATGTAACGACACAAGTCTTCTTGCCGTGCTGCATCGGCGACGCCTCAACGGCTTCGAGCTTCGATCCTGAAATTATTAATGCGCCTAACGCTTCGTCGCCGGGCTTAATGCACTTTCACGTTAGTTTGGAAAGCGTGAAAGGACGTGAAAGGGCCGATTTACGCCGCCACCACCACGACCGCCACCGCTTTCCCACGATCAAGAGCACGATCCCGCCTGCGATCGCGTACTCCGATATTTCTGCATGCCAGCGCACGATTCTCTCCGTCGTTAAGGAGCACTCGAGCGCATCCAATACGGATCATTGGCCGGATCGGAACACACACATCAACCGATCTCCGAAAGCAAAATCAATTCCCCTTCGTTAGATCGGATTATCGTGATGTTTGTAATGATAATGCGCTCACATCACTCGAATGTACATATTATTGCAATAATACCATTTTTGAATGATTAATTTCTCATATACGCAATTTTTAATTTCTCCCAATATTATTATCATTTATTAGTTTAGAGTGCGCATTATGTATAACTTTATGCGTTTCTTCTTCAGTTATTTTCTAAATACGATTGCTTTGGACTTTGTATATTTAACTTTCAACCTTGAATTGATCTCAAAATAAAATAAACATACTCCTGTTCGTGTAAATTATATTAAATATACAGCCTAGCACAATATTCGATTAATTTGCAATGCTGCGTTTATTCAGATACCATGAAATGCCTCAACTATGTTTGCATAGTTGAACACAACACATATCACACGGGAGGACGATGATATCTACATATTTCAACGATCGATGTTTACCTAACAACAACATCAACAAACACCAAGCAATATTTTGCACGCATGACGTCAATTCAGATCGCGTGAAGTGTCGATGCCGATTGTTCGAAACAGCAAACCAGCCCGACCGTAGTTTCTGCACGAACAATGGCCAGTTTTTCCCATAATCAAACCACCAACGTGTCGTAAACACGCGGCTCTATTCTCTTTCTCTTTCACTCTCTTAATCGCCGTTCCGCGAATTTAATGGCGTTTAATTATTGCGAGAACCTCACGTGCTTGAGCCGGCGAAGCGAAGAGGACGACAGCTTTTCAACCTTTTGAATCCCGACTTGCGATAAGATCCATATCTAAGTTCCGCCGCTTGCAGAAATAATCGAATTACGCGAGATCGTACTGAACAGTCAGCCGACGTCTGGCATTTCGCGAGATTGTTCCGCTAATTAAGAACGCCTTTTTCACAGTCGGCAAAAACAGCCAGCTGAATAGACACATTGTATGTGGCCGCGTACTACGCAAGAAAGGTAAATATTGCGGGCTCTTACATATTTCCAACCAAGTCGTATTGCGGTTTACGAGATATTTTTAAAACATAGCTACGTTAAATCCGATAGTTTAACTTTTCGAGTTTTTCGCTGAGCTTTTGTTATTAGGAACGCTGGGTCGCAAGAGAGAGAGTGCGTCGTAACTTCGATATTACCGAGCAAGCTGAATGCGCGAGTACGGAATAGAGATCCCGATATAACGTCCAACAATCTGTGACACCGTTGCGCATTTTACAATCGAACCGTGCAGTCGAATCGATGCGCACGGACTATCAAAGATATTCCCTTCCTACTTGTTCGTGAAGTACAAAGCGAGTATACAACGGATCTGTTACCTCCAATCTCTGCTGAATCACTGCACGAAATACTGTTCGGTGGGATTACGATATTTAAGTTTCAACACAACCGAGAGATGTACAGATATGCGACAATATACCAGATTGAATTTCCTTTTAACGTTTTGAATTCTAATGTATCGCACGAGACACAAGCTTTAACGAGCTTAAACAAAATTAAATCTTGTTCATAAATTCTTTCATTCTTTTACGAAAATTAAATCTTATGACTGCTGTTTCGTCATAAGAGCATAAAAATAATTTTTATTAACAGTGCTATTTAAATCCGGAATTTAAAGGTTAATAAAAACGTGCAGTCTAATATGAATTATAACCAAAGAAATATGAAAGCATTATGAAGTACATTTTATATTAATAAACAAATATTAATATTTTTGCTACGAATAACTGGGAAGATAATTTAAGATTATTGTGCATTATGCATTATACATTTGCTACAAAATTATATGAATTTTATTTCATTACCTTAAAATAAATTATATTAAATTATTTTGTTGACAATGAGTGGTACGATGTGTGCATATAAATTGCCAACATGAAATATTAATATGAAAGAACTTTTAACTTGATATTTACAAATACTGCATCATTTCGAACATGGAAAGGGAAAAAAATTTTGTAAAATTCCAATCACACTTTGGTTGAAGACAAATCGACTCCGCGTCGCGCGAAGAGTCTGAAGAAAAGGATGAGAAGAGCGGCAAGATATTTGCGAAACACTCTGCATTCATGAAGAGAAATGGAGACTCTTCATATCGCGAAATAGTAGAAGATACGAGGAACACTCGACTTTGCTAGTATGATACGCTATAATAATATATCCACGAATGCATAGCGAAACTGCTAGCGCATAACTTACAATGCAAGGAAAATGCATAAGATCCAATTCCGCGTGTTTCAAAGTCGCCATTCATTTGATACAATACAGAGTGTAACATTTTTTCGATATTTCAGATTCCTCGTTTTTTCCCGATAAAATATTCATTCCCGAAATTTACCGTCCCTGGGAACAATTTTGTGCCACATAAAATTTTACGAGGGAACATAACGTTCGATGAGTATGCCTTCTGTTTTGTTTTCCGTCGTGTAAAAATTATAAACCACGCGAAATATTTTTCATTCGTACTCACATCTGTTCGTGTTCGCGTAATATCGATCCCGTAGCGAAGATGACGACGTGAGTAAAAGTTAAATGGTGAAAAGTGAAAGACGCCCGAAGAAATGGATTGGATGGCGAGTTTGAAACTATAATTTCATTTCGAACCATTATTCGGCCGTTATGTTACAGTGCGAACTTTTAAAATTGTAATACATAACAGAAATGGGGCGGCTGGCATGAAGACATAGCACTAAATTAAAGGTTTTTTGTTAATTTGAAAAAAATTACTAAATATTCCATCTTGCTTAAAGCGTAATTATTTTCGTACGGTTTATCATTAGCCATTAAATTACTTGGAAAAGATAAACGAGTTTAACCTACTTTATTTAATCGTTCATTCAAAATAAAAATCTTATTTTCACGTATTATGCTTTCAGGGGAAAATATAATTTGCTTTATATAGTTATATCTCTCTGCACTGTATTTTTCATAATTTCAAAAATAATGTTGCATCGAAGCTGAAACTTTTAAATCCGACCTCTCCCTCCTCTTTCCCAAAAACATGATATTTTATTTAAATTACCGCCGCTTACGTAAAGGCAGCGCAACACAGTTGATAGACATTTATAATAATAATGTTATAGATACGATGGAAAAGTGCGAATTAAAAATTGATCTCATTTTAGGTAACGAGTTATATTAGTCGCGTGAAACGACTACAGGCAACCATGTACGAGAAATACAAATTGAAAAACTCGCGGGCATACAGTCTTTGGCACGTGTGAAATATGAGACTTTATCGTGTGCGACGTCATATGAAAAGAATTCACTTTATAATGACAGCCACGAAGCAGATTTTTCTCAATAATACGCTACATAGCGACTCTCATATTTCGCTTGTCAAAGGAACACGCGGCTCCCCATTGAAAATGCCGCACGCATGTCCATTATACACGGTACAATGATCAGTATTACAACATCTCAATTGTTTTATGTCGCATAAAAGACAATGTAATCATTGCTGACTGCTACTAGCAATATTGCCACATAATTCGCTGTCACAAAAGTAGATCGTTAAGTTAAATCGAGACGCGGTTGATCAATTAATGCGATATATAATCTTCCCTTTTTGCAATTAAACGTATATTAAGTCCGACTTTTCGTGCTTGGCGAATAAAATGGCTTTATAATCGGCAAAAAATATTGATTACGGAAATTCTCTTTTTTTTTTTTTTTTGTAAAACATCGCTTTAATCGGAAATAAATGTGATCGTGTGTGGAGAGAGAAATGGACTCTCATAATAACTGAAATGGGAGAAGAAATTCACTCGTGGGTGAATACCAGTATTAAGCGCCGCACCATTATTCCTCGCGCACGCGTAGATTCCCGCGAAGATGTGCGTGAAATTCCACGATACTAATTACAACAAAAGCGGGCACGAGCACTGGTATGTCCGCGCGAGGAATATCATGATAATGCGTTTGCACTCAATAGCGTGCGCGCGACAACAGGCATTTGAAATTTATCGCGGAAACCACCACGCTCCGTGGAACTGCCATAATATTAGCCGTCCACATCGTGGAACTAATTTCTCACGCGGCACACGCGGCGCGTAACAAGAACCGTCGGATAAATTGGTCGTCGGGCTACCGAAGTTAGTAATCGCAGGTCCGCAGCTTACCGGAAATCAGGTTAAACCGTAAAGTCAATATTGCAGCTCGTACTGCTCAACGGTGAACGGCGAGAGAGAGAGAGAGAGAGAGAGAGAGAGAGGAGAGAGAGAGGAGAGAGAGAGAAGCACGATAGATAGCATTTATAT